TTGTATACAATGATATAATATCATTGGATTCAAATTTAATTCCATCCATTACAGTAACCCACTTGTAACCTACTGTACAGCAGAGCGACAAACACGACTTAACCGCTTTTTTTTATTTTTAAAYTATTAGAGTATTGGACTGTCCGACTATTAATCTTAGCAGATGTGTCACCGATCTATATGATGCAATGTAAGCAAAAATTTAAACTCCCAAAACTGTCWTTKAGATTATTTTACAGACTGTTAAGATTTTTAAACATGGCTGAATGGTTTCTAGTCACTGTCATCAATAATATTATAATATTATTCTTTATTCACATACCATTATAATATTTGTATCTATAATATTAGAGCCTATGACGCAACGTTTTGACTTACAAATATAAAAATGTTATAATAATGTGAGTCAAATAATAATATAATGATATTGACGAACATAAATATTAATTTAGTCCGGGCGCAACATTACTTCTATTTTATTTAGGTACTTAGATTGTAATAAATCGTAAAAGCTACACTGAAAGATATTATGCTCTTCGTTCCAATCATTTTAATGATTACATTATAATACTATCGCGACTTAGCTCTATATTTATTATTTAATTATAATATGCTACTCGTTAGTATATGATAATATAAATATATATATTGTATATTGTATATATATGCATGGATATTGGTCTTAATGAATACCAAATCTTCGTCGCAAAACTACTATAATATTTTATATGACCATGCTGCCTTACAACGTTAACGTTACACATATTATTCTTAAACTCGAAATTAAAATAATTACTATAATTATTAAATCATAAGTATATAAAACAAATTGTAGATTTCGATAAAATTAAATAAGACTGTTTAACTATAAAAATATATTGAAATATAATTATTATAATTGATTACAATTTTGATAATTTTATTATAAATTAGTATTTTTGGTCCAAATTTTAATTACATTGTAATATCATTAAAATAATCAATATTTCAAAAAGAAAAAATTAATTTAATTAAAAAAGACGTCATCGCTGGGTCAATGATTGAATATCCTATCACTCCAGTAATAAAATCAGTATGTTTTTACAGCTCATTCCAAATACTGTTGATTCATCTACTCAAATTGTACATTATGCGTCACATTTGTGTATAGCATTTTGATCCATAACAAAAACAATCTTGTTGTTATACTCGCAACTTATTCATAAGTTGAAGAAATCAAATTTCTCTATAACAAAAGGTAATATAGCAACATTTTTTATACTCCTCAATGTATTACATTAATAATTCTATAACTAGTTTTTATTCTCCAAATGATACGTAGTTWTTTATAGACATATAGTAAATTTAAAGACTATACTAATAAATTTAGTCGTTTCAAAATATATTTTGGTTATAAATTTATAATTATGATTTATAATTTATTTRTTCTTTCCAACGTAAAATTATTTTCCAAATATTAATTTAGATAAGTAATTTATTTAACTWAAATATCTTCCGAACTTTGATTCATTACAATAAGTACCTATATAATTATATAAAGTCTTATGTAAATATATTGGATATTATATTATATCGTGTAAGACGACCTATCCGTAATATTTAATAAAATAAATCTGTTATAAATTATAATTGTTTAAAAAATATATAATTCATGAACATTTTGTACTTGTTCGGATTTGTACTTTTTTTTAAATTTCTTTTTGATACAGCAGCTTTTCTTTTTGAAATTAAAGTATAGAAAAATTTTAAGAAAATATAAAAAGTTTAGTGGTTTGTGGATTTTAGTTCTTTATAACGACTTATTGTTTCTTGTGTTTGAATAATCTTTTGAAATAAAATAATATATAACATTTTAGCAGAAGTGTAATAACAATTCAGAAGGGAATTAATTTTATTGTAATCTGATTTTATTTGAAATAATGCATTTATAAATATCTAGGTACATTGAATTTATGACATATGTACCTACTTAATTATACCTTGTTAATTTATAATTTGTTTACTACTGCAATATGTATACTATCTATTATATTCAATAGTTTTGCATTACGTTTTTAGAAAACAATTTATATTAGCTAATTGTAATTTCAAAACCAAATCTAGGCTATACACTATATATGATTAATTTTAATATTAATCATATTACTTTTTAACCATTGTATTACGTACTATAAGCAAGAAAACTAAATTGTAAAATAAATATAAGTATAAAAAACTCTAAATGATATTGAAACTTCAAAAAATATTTCAAATATTTCAAAAATCAAACGTTCTGATAGAATTACCTAACATTTGTTTAGTGGTAATATTAATACATGCCTACATAATAATATATTTCAGGTATATATTTTTACTTTTAAGTAATAGGTTTAATTATTCTTATAAGACATATACATAAACTTACAAATAATCGAAATAAAATGATATTGTATGTTTCCTATAATAAAACAACTACTGTTAAATACATTAGTCACTCGATATTTCGAAATTTCTATAGGCGGAACAGTGAAACACATTCTACAATTAGAATTTTTTTTCAGAACCTCTATAATTTGAATTTCCTTAAACGCTATTATATGTATGTTCATATTTATAAAGATTATGTACAATCTATTTGACGTACTCGTAGGTAATGAATGAAACTAATAACGATGGCGATTAAAGTATATTATCGTAGGTACTTTATACCTACCTAATTTAGACTTAAATCGTACCATTTTACTAAAATAAACGTCTGTAATGGGTAAACAGTTGTTGGAATTGGAATAAAACGTAGTCAGTCGGAAAATGGACTCCGTAAAGTATAAGTGTTTGTCGATCGCCGACAAAAAAAGTGATCGTTGCAGTTGAAGCAGGTGAAAATAAMATAAAAATGTTTTGCTCTCTTTAATTTGAATTAATTTCTTTTACCCTGATTATTCGAACACTCGGTAAATCGAATACCTCTATAAATCGAATTTTTAGTTAGGCCCTTTGAATTTTGAATTATCGAGTGACTACAGTACATAATTGTAGGTTTATAAAGTCTTTTTATCAAAGTGTGGTCCTCCATACATATAATATACATCACTGGGCTGTACCCGTTTTCACCCTAAGTGTACCTTCCCTTTMCCACCAATACTCATTAAATACCAAATAAGAAATTGACCATGTTTCCATCTAAATAATATCTAGACTATTGTATATAGTGGCTCACTGTCTTATTATTATTAGTCCGTTCAAAACATTAAATTAATCAATTTTTTGGCACCTTTACATATAGGTATGCATAAAATAAAAATAAATTTTATTATTTATTTAATAAATAATAAATAAATATTGAAAACAAGCGTAATATACATTTTGATAGTATAATTGATAAGTAATTATTCATACTAATTATATATAAGTAAATAAAAATAATCTCACTCTATAATGCGTATACAGGTATTTGGGAAATTCTACGTTCGAATGGAACGAAGGAATTATTATTGTCATCGAAATATTTCCATTAACACCGAGGGGATGAAAATATTAAAACAATAAATTATTAGTAGGTTCTTGCATCTATATAGGTTTCTTAAGAAGTTTACAAATTTCCGAATCGAAGAAAACAAAATCGTTTTGTCGTCAGTAGGTCAGTATTTCCTGTGAAATATATTTTGTATTGTAGAAACTTATTATACAACATAACGTCATACAAAACGCACATAAACACCAATAGGTACCTACTTATATACTATTATATTATTGTTTTGATTATTGTCGTCTGACATCGGCAAGCGTGATGCACGAATCTATTAATGATATTATAATACTTAAATTCGTCTGATGATGTGTGTGCTGCAGTTTTAGTCGTTATGCGCGTGGTTTGAATTATATTGACGAGTTCATTGTGAAAATTATTGTATTCTCGTWCTACCAGCCTGATACAGGCATAGATCTATTACTTTTCGTCATGAAGGGCCACCGTTCGTGACACTTGGGAAACTTCGGTGCTGCTTGGTACCTCAGATCATCACCGCCTTAGACATCGATATAATATTATGTCGCCGGGGACATATCTAAGGTCTAAACACGTTGTTGGCGACTATTTACAGACATCTTCCATACCGTGGTGTGGTAATGCGGAAGCCGGTCATATACGTGCCAACACAATCGGCGTGTACCACGTGAGTTTGAAGCAACAACAACAGCCACCGGTACGTATTGTACTTACGTTTGTAAGTTGTAACGCGCGCCCATCTACGGTATATAGACCACATACATGAGGAGAAAGGAGAAATGAAGTGCTAACAATTTATACGACGTTATATTGGAAGTTAATGTTATTTTAAGATAGGTACCGATTATACCAATCGACCTCTTGTACAATAGGATACGTTTATTTTGTATTTTAGATTCTGAGCGGAGAGGAGCGTGTTGTAGATTTTACTTTAAAATTATGTATAGATATTATAAATAATGTTTGATATTCAACTTTTATGATAGTTTTTGATAGAAACATGTATCTAGTTGGTAGCTTGAGGAAAAAAGTAATTTTTACGCAAGATCGGTTTTCAACAAATTTATTTTATTATTTTGTTGTAATTAATTCAAAAAAGAACAATTTCAGAGATATTTTATAATTTCACAAAWTKTTTGTATTAGCATTTTATATGCATGGAATACATCTTAAAATATTTTGGGTCTTTTTATATGCATTTTAAATTTTTAGTTTTTTTTTTTTGCTAAAACTTTATATCAATACAATTGACAACATAAATCTAAATCTAAATAAACTAATAAATCTAAATAAACTTACGTACCTATTTACTCAAAATCGTATGAGCAAAGTTTCTCCGGGCCCTTTTAAAAATGCCCAGTCCTGGTGAGAATTCCTACTTCTACCCCTCTCCACAGACCTGTGTGAGTATAGTGTATCTAATCTAACTTAGCCGTAGAGTAAATATCTATAATTTAAAATATATTGTACCTACATGTAAGTGTAATCTACCAGAGTTTTTAAATTTGATCCTAGCCTCATTGAAAAAAGAAAACGTTAGTTATAGCAAATAATATCTAACACTAGAAGTAAAAATTTATGTAGACGTATTTTTTGATCATTAATATAAACTGTACGTCGCAAACAATATTTCCATCAATTCAATTTGTAACTTTGTTAAGTTAGTTGGCATTTAAATTGAATGTTTTAACACCTTAGTGTTAGACAGCGAGTTGAAAAGTAATTTCAATCAGGTACCTTATTGAGTACCTRATTAACCTACTACCAGTTCTCGAATTTGACACATAATATTAATAATTAGTAAATATCATAACAAAAGCCTCTTTTAAATTACAGCTGTTACATGTAGGTAACATAAAAATATATGTTAAAATTTGAGATTTCATTCATTAGGTTTTTAATTATTTTAATTTTAGTTAGTTTATCAACTTATATAAAATAACGATGTAATTGTTAATTAATCTATCTCGTCGCTTCCCAAACGGCTCCCGTTGAAAAAGATGTTACGAACAGGTCAATTCCCAAACGGCTCCCGCCGAAAAAGGTATTACATACAGGTGAATTTCCAAGATTTCAGGTTGATATTCCGTATACCGGTATACTGTATACCCTTAAATATACTTTAAATTAATTTTTAAAACGGAATACCGAAAATATCGTACAATTTTACATATTGATAATATCGAAAACACAGAAAACACCCAAACATTGAACATACATATTATTATATCAAATATCTATACCGAAATTAATTATATATACATATGTGTATATTATATGACTCGTATATCATCGATATCTAATCAATAGCAAATGTGTTGATGGCTAATTGGCAATATCGACAATAATAAGTGTTTAAATAGGTTCATTTACCGGAAACTGTAAACATAAAATACAAATAGCCCTACTTTAAATTGGCAATGTGTACACAATACAAAAATATCATAAATAAAAATACTAACATATAAAAATTCAATTACACATTTTAAACA